AACAACAATTGTTGAGACAGCGGCACCCGATTCCCGCAATGCAATCAATTTGCTCTTGACTTCATTGATAACATCCGCTCGCCTGGCCTAGCCCTATTATCAGATGCAATCCGGGATTCGAGATCGATTAAGCATTACCAGTGCTCCACGTCGTCCCCCGAGCGAATGCCCTGGTCGGTCTCCTCTGAGTTCAACCTCATCCAATATCCTCTTTATCCAGACACGCTTGCCGTTCTTGTCTTGTTCAATCCACCCATTCACCGTGGTACGCGAGAGTTTGCTGAATGTCTGTCGGTCACGGCCAATTAATGTCTTCACAATGCCGGATGAGCTGAGGCCGGTGGTGGGGTGATTGTTTACAGTGCCAGCGGAGAGTATCTGTCGAAAGAGGAACGGCGTCTTCCAATTGACATATTTGACCTGCCGTGGGGCATGAATGCGCTTTCGCCCAGATGCTTTTGCGGACTTGGGCAAGTGTCTCTTCCTTCACAGATCGTCGAAGTCGTGATTTTCTTGCTGTGTCATTATCCATCCCTGCATCGGCAAGGATAGGTTCGATGAGCTGGTTTAAACTAGTTAGTCCAGATTGAGGTGACTCCGAGAACACGCACTCTGACTTTGCGCTTGGTCCCGTCAGCGTGACGAATCCCAAGCTCTATTTCAGCCTCCTTCTCTCGTTCACGCTGCTTGCGCTTTCGACTGCATGCGGCTACTCGTAAGTTCTCCTTCCTCTCTATCGCCATTTGCTGCACACGAAGTGCCTCGGCAGCTTGTTTTTCTCGATTTCTATCTGCCCATTCGCGGTTTCGCTGACGTTCTCTTTCACGATCCTCCGCCGTTGCCTTGGACATGAACCGGAGAAGCCCCGTTTTCGCGTCGCTGGAACCCAAGGCTGCCAATGCTTTCTTGGTATTAGACTCCAGGCGCGTGTCCTCAGGGTCGGTAGTGTTGCCGGATGGTCGTTTTTTGGAGGGACTCGGTGGTGGCGAACCCAGAGCACGGTCCTGCATTGAGCGTTTGACCTTGCCTTTTGTTGGCGATAGTTTCGCGAAGATATCCGCCAGATGCTGAATTGGTGGCGGCGTCACTGGACGCTCGTGTTTTGCTGTGGTGGTGGGTGAGCTTGAACGGGAGGAAGGTGGCGAAGGGGTTGGCGTTGGTGAATGAATCACCCTCCGCGGCAATGGACGGTAGAGGCGGTGGGAACCAGATGACTCAGACGGTACAGCGACTACCTCAGTCTCACTCATTGGCTCGTCGTTGAAGTCGTCGAGTGGGAAGCGAACTGCGACCGGGACCGCAACTGCATAGTGGTGTGGTGTATCCGGATCCAGGGAAAGCCCTTCCGCCAGCGAAACCCTTGCTGGGAGGACGACAAGGTCGTCTTGTGCAAGATCATGACCAAATGTAAAGTCGAAGATAGTTGGGGTCACCGTCTTTTGGCAGAATCAATATGGCAACCAGCGGCGAATGACTCGGAATGAGATGGGACATACCGGGACCTTTAACTTCTGGGCATGCCGCGCGAGTATCTCGTTGAACAGCCGCAGCCGTTCGTCGACTGCCGACTGCATCCCCACATCCAGCAGTGAAATTGCGGGGTGGAGATAGTGATTCAACGAGTTGTGGGCCAGAATCCCGCAGGAGAATGAGTCCTTTTGACGCGTTATATCGAGCTTGAGCCAGCGGAAGTCTTCCACATCATGCTGTGCGATCCACCAGCTGTACGCGCACTTGACGGACTCGTTGATAGGGCCATCCAAGGCGTCTCCGTAGTACACAGTCTTGCTTTCGAAGTCGATAACGAGCGCTACCCAGTGGTTTTCGTCCACATTGACAATGGTGAGCAGCTTTGTATCGACACCCAAGCCAAACTGGTTGCCCTGTTCCCGAAGATCTCGGTAGCAGGGCTCCGTATCATAACCCTCCCCACCATCCTCATACAGTTCAATAAGGCTCTGCGCGTGCCCGCTAGGAACGATGTGAACGCCAGCTGCCTCCCAACTCCCATCCAAATCAAGCAACTCGAGAGCTAGGTTGATGTGTGTTGTTTGAAGCCAGTCCCGCGTGCAGAATGGGCCCAGATCGATGAGCATTGCCTTCTCGGAAAGCCCGCTAGCGAGCCATCCCACGGAAGCTTCCTCGTCTCCTCCAGCACTGCCATACGAGTCTCGTCCACATGGGATAGCTTCTCGATCGGGTTACAGCCGACTGCCACTGCTGACGAGCTTCCCGGACATGCGACAGCTCCGCCCAGTATGAGAGAAGATGCAAGGGGTAGGCATGTTGGTTCCCCGGAATGTGAGGGCAAAGCACCGAGTTGTATTCATCGTCCTCGTCTGCTTGATCAAGCGCCAATAGCAGTGTACGGAGGACTGCAGCTGGTGGCGTCGTGAGCTTGGTGATATCTGCGTCACGAGATGTCGGGAGCCTAGACGAGAGATACTGGTCCGCTGAAGTGAAGTAGGTGGAAGCACGCTGGGCTGGTAGTCGGAAATCAAGGAAGCTCTTGACGGCTGTCCGCTTGTTTGGGAGGATTCTGGCCGCCAGAGAAGCCGGAAGCCGTAATTGTTGCAGTCGCTCCGGCGTGAGAGGCATCCGGCCCGTAGTATGGCTGTCGCTGGACAGCGGTCTGGATGAAGTGACGAAAATTTTCGTCAGTCACACCCTTGATCCGCGGATGACGAAATCCCAGGTTCGTCATCGATGTCACGCCTCCGAAGGGGTGACGAATCGATTAAAATAGTACAGTATATCTCAATTACCTAATCTTCTTAAGTATTTCAATTTCCTCAGTCCATTTCTGCAATCACAGATAATGATAATTAGGTTGAGCATTTCTGTAAATGTTGATATAACTTTTGTGGGTTGTTGTTCATTAGAATACATGGTGACAGTCATCTTCCTGCCCTGTAAAATTGCAGTATAAACTTTTCTCCTTGACTGCCACCTGTCCCTCTTGAGAGTAGGCACTATTTCATTTTGCAGATAGACATCACCCAGTGGAATGATGTAAAAGTCATGACTCATCATCTACACTGCTCTGGAGCAGTGGTGCAGGTGGATGGATGTATGAAGTGAAAGTACTGTGTGAGATACTGAAGTCGCTTGTGCCAGAGAAGATGTTTCCCAATTGAGTGTCTTGAACCATTATGTTTTCGACTTCCGGGCCATTTGGCACCGCATTCGAGTCCACGGTTTCAGTGGAGGGAGTGGAGGGAGGTGTGGATACCATGCCACACGAGGGGAGGAAGCAAGCGCAACATGTGTCTTGATCCTTGTCTAATCACTTCAGGCAGGTTAAACGCCACAGCCTAGTCCTGGATGGTTGAGTCGGAATCAGGCTAAAAATCTTACTTCTGTGCAAAAACCATGCTCTTAGCCAATAGGATGTCCTTAATTATGAAGTGCCACGTCACTTCAAGTTCTTCAGCTGCCTTCCTGGTCTTCTTCTCCCATCACAGGCAGCCGGGCCCAGCCTGGGCCCAACTTGCTTAGCGTTACCGAGGTACATTACGCAGGCACTGCCAGGCAGCGCTACCCGCATAATGCTCATTTTTAGTGTGGCAGTCCGACCTGGGCCCGGGCACATGGCGGCACGCCGCTAGGGCTTGGTTTATATAGGGGTGTTTATAAACCGGTTTATAAACACCCCTGTTTTATATGTTTATAAACAGCCTGGCTGGAAACCCCCTGTTTTATGGTTTTATATTAGTAAGCACCCAAAAAGGAAAGAAGCTAGCAAACCAGACTTGCTTTACACTAATATTGCTTCTATATACTGCTAGTAGGTTTGATCATATCTTATAGGTCTATTGTAATATATTGTTTCTTATCAAGTAGGATCTCATGGACATCAAGGGAGCGTTCCCAGTGTCGACCTGAAGCGCCTCAAGCACGACATGAGGATGAGGGGAGTACCGGAGGGTTACGTGAAGTGATTGGGAGCTTGGGTGTGTGTGACTATACTATACTAACCATACAGATTAATTATTATCATGGTTATCATGATTTTCAAGTGTTCTAAAGGATTCATGACAGGGGTTCTAAAATCTGCTGATAAGTAAATTATACATGTTATATATAACTAATTCATGTTATGCAAACTTACAAGTGATAGTTGATATAACCTTGCTGTTTCAACCCCTAATGTCTATGAATGTCAAAGTCATGAAGTTAAAACACCAAAATTTGCTGCAAAAAATTTCCTAAAAAGGCAATTTTGATCTCTCCGGTCATATCGGCTCAGTTGGTTTATAAAACCTAAAAACTGTAAACAGGGTTTCAGAGGCTATTTTTATCAAACCAGTTGATAACCTCCAAAATCTTTGCAAACCAAGCCCGACACGCCTCACTGCAGCAAGCGGGCTCACACAAGCCATCGCCGCCAGCCATGGCCTGGGCGCCGTCAACTTGGCGCCGTCCTATTCCGATATCAGCTACGACTCCGAGTCCGGCGACGTCGGACTGGGCCGCACCCTTGGCGTTACGGCCAACAATCGCTCGAGCCGCAGTCAATCGATCTCTCAACGATCTCTTCCTCATCCAGCCCTCGTGGGCTTGTCTACAAGTACATAGCAGTTTGAATAGCACTACGGGGCACTCCGAGTCCTCGGCATGCAGCATACTGCTGTCCGTAGCCTCTTTTCGGATCCTGTCTCACTCACGCCGCGGCGACCATGCCATCACACGGTATCAGATGTGACAGGTAACAGCCACGTCATTTGCATACGACTTGCCTCTCGCCAATGCAGTAGACCCGCAGTCGCATGCCAACAATGCATTGAGTCGGTCGACAGGGCAATCGTGGATACGTCGTCGGGATTTGCGCTCATTTATGCATGGCGGCGTCCTTGAAGCTTCTCGCCGCCCGATACCGGCGGATTGCCGACATGCTCCACGACAGCCTGGAGAGCGCAGCTTTTCACCCTCCCACTCCTTCGAGTTTGCTCTAACTGACACCCAGAGCCGCTATCGCTCCATTCTCGCCAAACACATACATGGGAGAGAGCATCCCTCCACTCGACCCGATTACCGGGTGCGTCCGTTGCCTCCCTGGTTTGCTTGCCTAACCCAGTCGCATATCTAGGGCTCTCCTCGTCGGCACCTGGCTGAACTCCGTGCGCTCCATCTCTGCTCGCACCAAAACCAGTGCTTATCTAGTATCCCAGCTTCTATACAGCATCGAACTCTTGCAGATGTTCTCTTACTTCCGCTCTTTCCCCTCCGACGACTCGCGCATCAAAGTGCTCGTTGTGGTGGCGTTTGCCCTCGACACGACCGCGGGGCTGTCGAACTATACCGCCGTTTATCTATACACGATCCGACATGCAGGCGATGTGGCATACCTGCGCGTGCAGATATGGGTATGCCTTCAATTCTTCCTTGCCATGGAATTCATCATATCATCGGGCCCGTAGACATTCCCCGTCTTAGCCATTTCCACCGGTCTCGTCGCCGTTCTCGTTCAATCTTTCCTCACATTCCGCTTCTGGAGATTGTTGAGCCCATCCTTGTTCCTCGCCGCCAGGCCTGAGATATAATCCACAGCACACACAACACCCCGCTTACAATCGTGTTATTCCTTTTGATTGGTACGACGGTACGTTGCTTCCGCGACGACAATGTCTTTTTTTACTGATTGGTTGCTAGCTTGGTGCATGTTTTGCTGCAGGGATATACACCGTTCTCTTCCCAAACTACGCCGACCGACACAAATCCATGATCCCCGTCCGGTATCCAGCTAGTCATCTATTTCAACGTACCTTTACTGATGAACGCACAGCGCCTGGCTCATTTCTCAAGCAGCCACAGATCTGCTGATCGCGAGTGCGCTGCTCTGGGAGCTACACCGGTGGAGCAGCCCGAACGCTTTCGATCGAACCCGCAGGTGATCTGGATATCAAACAAACTCTTTTTTGCTCATGGCTCTACAGCTTGCTTCACCGACTCATGATGCATACACTGACAACGGGCGGGGCCAGTGCCTTGGTCGCGGTCGCGTGTCTCATCGCCTTCTCCATCGACCAGGAAAATAACAGTGTGTCGTCTTAAGACTCATTGCTAATACTAGATTTGACTTATGTCCGGTAGTTGCGCTCAGCATCGCGTACTCGCTTGGACGCGTCTACATGCTCACTATGGTGATATACTCATATTGAAATTATCAGTGTCTAACAGCCGGTACAGCTGGCTAACCTCAACCTCCGGAAGTCGCTGAATGAGATACTCGCCGTTCAAGATCTAATTACCATTCCGCATGCTCCGCGGGCACCATCCCAGACTCAGACTGCTGGTATCGTGCGGCAATTGGAGGAGGAGGTGGACTGGAATGACGCCAGAACAAAGATTTAGAATCACATCAGACTACTAGTATTTCAAAGAGTTTTAGAATATCAGCTGAAGTTGTAGTATCATGCAATCATTATCATTATCTATGGGATAATTAAATAATTATTCTGGGACCATAATAGAAGATAGTACTGTCATAATTTATGTGACCTGCAGCTGAAGGCTCCAACTAATTACTATCCATATACACTCCAAGGCTGCATTGTATTGGGATATGGATAGTATTGAGTTACAACCCAATATATTGAGTATATGGTAGATAATCCAATTTGTTTCTGATCTAGCCACAATTAAGTCCTATAAATATATTTTTCTTACAAAAATTGCTCATAATTATGCCATACTTAAATCCTGTGCGTAATCAGACAGAAATTGATTTTTTTTGTAATGTATTCAAGTATAATTATATTTGACTGATCCACCAAGGGAATATGCCATTATTATTATTATTTACAGGATTTCATACTAGTAGTACATTCATTCCTGTTTGTAATACTAATTTTGTTCTTTTTGAGCAGCTGTGAGCCCTCAGAGCTCTAGTAGCGTCACTCATCACTCGCAATAGCGCACTCAGGCTACTTACTCAGGCTCCTGGCGGCTCGGACCAGTTATTCTGCATCATGCTGCTTGCTTCACCTCAGCAAAACTGTATACTCAACATAGTGGGGATACTTTGCTCCGTTTTCGTATATACCCCGACCTATGACTATAGGTTACTGCTCAGGCTCGGAGTCGCACTTCATTCATCTCTGCCAGTTGCTGGCACGGTGCAGTTCACGATGACGTTCTTCGCGTCCTTGCGGCTCTTGTTGACCACGTCCAGAGTCTTGCTCAGCGTTGCATTGAGGCTTCCGCTGCAATAAAGCATGAATTGATGCCAGAGACTGAGAACCGCGCACTACGCACTCTTTCATTGTTCCCTGTGCGCTCTTGAGCGCCGTCAGCGCGGCCTCGATTCCGCCGACGACCTCCCCACGGGTTACCTCCGGCGCAGGATCGTCGACGAGCACTGCATCGAGGATGTCCTGGATCGCGGCCTGCACTCCTGTCAGCCCCGTCTGCGCGACCGAGAATGCCGAGTTGGTCGGGATGTCCTTAATGCTGCACAAATGATTCACGAGCTAAGCCCAACGGAAATCGGGAAACGCACGTCGAGTTGGCTTGCTGCATGGATGTGATGAGGTCCTTCGCGGTAGTGACGGAGTTGATGATCGTCAGCCGCGCGAGGTTGCATTGCAGGTTGCCGATCTGGCGCTTCGAGGGTGTTGGGGCTGTTAAAGTTGTCAATAAGCGGGATACGAGTAAGGACCGAATTGAGGGAAGTAAATATGACGCACCAGAGCCAGCGGCCAGCGCAAGCGCGAAAGACACGAAAAACGCGACGAATGGGGCCATGGCGGACTTGAAATAGGAGAAAAAGTTGGAAGGAAGAGCACCGGGCCCAGCAAAGACGAAGAATGCGCAGGAGGGAAGGTAGAAACGGAGAGATTCCGTGGTGGAAGGCGCCTCCTATTATGTACTTCGCACAAACCGTGATGCTTCCTGCCCTTCGGGAACTTGAATGATGTTGATTTCCATAGAGACTGCTCGGAACTTGATTGCTCACCAACTGTGCGGCAGTAGAAGTGTCAATAGCCTCAGCGGCGGGTCGCAGTGCATCATCGGGTGTTGAGAGTGCTGTGAGAACGACAGAAGAGTGTGCTATGAATAACCACGGGCTCGACAACGAGTGTATTGCTCCCAGAGAGACGCGATCGGGGAGTTGTTACTGCGAGACAGGATTAGTTATCGTGAGACCTGTCGCGAATCCAAAAGCAGCACACCCGTATACCCGCCGGCGCTTTCCATCCCGGTGGATGTGCCACGATCGATGGTGGTGCAGAAGAAAAGATACTTACTTGCTGTGACGTGGCATCACGATCGTAATCAGGTCTAGACCTCGTTGGATGGGGAACCATATATCGTAAGTACAATATTGTTGGAATCACATACAAATATGACACTGGGGCGGGATACAAGCGACAGTTTTGGCCTTGCAGCTGCTGCAGCTGATTACATATGTTACAATCTATCCAATCCTCGAGGGTTTCGCTACACATTAACAAAAACAAGAAAAAAATAATCTCTAATCATGACAGTCGGTATTGGCGCTCTCGCGACAACTTACACTCTCCAAACCAAGAAAATATTCGTACAGAATCCCCTCGCTATCACCGAACCTGGGCGGTTGTCGACGCCGACGCCAGCCCCACAGTTGGCGGCGTCCGATCAAAGGTATAATGCAGGCGAGCGTGCGAGCCAGGAAGCCGCGCCGCCCGCGTCTCCTGCTTCAGCTGCAGCAGCGTAGCGATGCCGTAGTCTTCATCATCATCCGAATCAACGCTCGGAGCACGAGCCCTGCGTGCGGCAGGTCCACCGTCGAGGACACGCGACATCAGGCCGCGATGCGCCGACGGAGAAAACGGGACGTGGTGGCGCGCATTGCGGTTCGTGTGCATGGTGGAGAAATCTTTCGGACTTGCGGGATTGGTATGAGGACGGTGCTGATGAGCCTGGACATGCTTTGGGGAAATTCGTTGAGAACGGGCTGAAGCGACCTGGTCGAGCGTTGGAGTTGACACTGGAGACTGCCTCAGCGGTCTAACCCATAAAAACGCCGAAATTACCTTTGACGGGAGAACAAGATATGGGGCCGGTCTCAGCGGGCGGCGGACCGTGAAGCGGCACAGTTTGCGAGTCAAGGCGGAAGTGATGCCACGAGGGAGAAATATCGGCGGCATCCCGCACGGGAACTGCACCGATATCAGGGAATGTTGGAGGATGAGCAGCCGACAGTCACCTCTAAACTTGACCTGCGACTTAAGCAACAAATTCGAGGGCTTTTCAGCAGCTTCTGTGATCGGAGATGGCAAAGCCCAGGTTCAACGAATATTTGCACGCAAGTCAAACGAGAGCGCACCCTTGTGTGGCGAAAGTTCGTGGGTAACCTCTACGCCCATAGTTCGTTTCCGGTGTTTGCTCTGCGCTCGTGTACCATACGAGTGAGTAGAGGCTTCCGATCCTTGGTCGCGTTTACGCTTGAGTGTGGGCTTCGCTGGAGCAACGGACGGTTCAGCAGGCGTATTCACGACAACTTGCGCCGCCATCATGATCGGGTCTTCGTCGTCATCGGAGGCTTCTGGAGTAGGCAGTGCTGCTTCATGGCGCGACAACGGTGCAGACATCTGGGCGAATGGATCGGAAGCCTTAGCACGTAGTCGGAGCATTTGATCGGCAGCGCGAAGGCCTCCGACTCCGGCATTAGCCCAGGCATCGTATGCAGCATCCGCAGAGACCCCGTGCACTTGAGCGAGACGATCTATTGCGAGACTGAGGCCAATCACCTTGTCTTCTTCGGAAAGCGGGCGGGGCTTGGTGAGGTATCGCGTAGTATGGGCAAGGAGGTCTCCAAAAATCGCTTTTTCGAATGGGGTAGGGGCTGGAGGGGGCTTGAGATGAAGTGTAGGATGGGGAATGGAGGTCTGGGGTTCGCGACTAACTCATGTTAGTACACGGTCATTAAGGGCACTGTCGTCGCACCGAATATGGCTGGATATGCTGTTGCTCCGAGTCTGCTCCCCCTCCGGATTCACAGCGTTGACGCTTGATGTCGAGAGACTCCTTGTCAGCTCGTCGCAACGAGCGTCGAATATGACGGCCAGCCTCCGGTAGTGGTCATGCCAGCTCTTGGCCGAATGATTGCTGCAACGTGGGTCCTGCACTCAGTCAGCCTACGGAGGTCCAGCGGAGGCCGGTAGAGTCATGCCACACACCTCGGCAAAGCGCTTAAAGCTGCTTATGGTGGATCTGGACTCTCGGGGGATCGTCGCGAGATGCTCAACGAGCAGGTGATCCTGCTGCACGGTGAAGACCTCCCTGCCGCGAGTCGCTCGGCTGCATACGTGTCAGATGGCAGGGCGAGACTCCGAGAACGGTCATACGTGCTGGTTTCCAGCTGAGGAACGATATCCGCGCTGCGCGAGCGAGTGACGCGCGCAACGGCGGCTAGGCGAGGGAGCGGCAGTGGCGGTGCCATATGGGGCCTTGGGCGAGGGGTAGTGGCGGGTGTACTTCCTCCGTGGTGGCGAAAGTCCGAAACGCGTCGAAGCCGTGAGTGCGGAAAAGGAAAGAGTTTCGAGTCACGCCGAGTCACGCCGTCACATAATGACGTGTTTCGCTTGGGGTCACCCTGAGGACTCAGAAGGATTTAAAAAAGAAAATTAATGGAGGTAATAATGGCCGAGAAATAGTGACTGACCTTTATTGATCAGACAGAAGGTTTAAATAAAGTCAACTAGATAAGAAAGCAATTTAAACAGAAAAAAATTCTCAAGATTGTAGTAGAAATAGGGTGCCCATGTGGAAAAACTGGGCATATATGGGTACAGAAGGCTTTTTTTGTCTGACAATGTTGATTCCTTTTTTCTTATAAGGTTGCTGTTCTACTTATTGGGTCTTTTTTCATCTATTTTTCCTAACAAATAAAGGTGTCCCTTTTTTTGGGGTGATCATTACTTTCATTAATTTAAAACGGAAAAAATCTTCCGGTTTTTTCTCAATTCTTCTAATTTGTCACCAAAGTGGCCAGATATGGTAGGTTAGTAGTAAATTTACTGATGGGAAGGCTGAGACTAGGAGTACAACTTCATATAATATCTATGGCTAGGCAATGGCGTGAGTAAACCCCAGAGCCTTACTCATACTCATACCTGCACAGCCACCATACCCATACCCATAGGTATGGGTATGAGTAGTCATGGGTATGGGTACGGGTTTTACTCATGGGTACTGTCAATTCTAAACCTCAAGTGATATATTTGCTAGTTTAACTCAATTTTTCTGCTGTGGCACCCACCCAGTGCTTGCACTTTTAGAAAGAACCAAGAGGGAATGATTGATTGCACTGGTAATCAATATTGACATGATGTATCTTATCTAATCTACCCATGGGTTGGCGGGTTAGAAATTTCTAATCTATACCCGTACCCGTATGGGTAAAACCCATGTACCCATGCGGGTATGCCTTACCCGTGCTATTGCCTATCTATGGCTATCTAAGATATCAAAAGAAACACAATTATAGAAGACATTGTAAGAGTATATAGGAGAGTAGTGGGACTGGGACTGGGATAATGGGACTCTAGTCCCACTTTTCCTGGTCCCAGTCCCATTCCTGAGGCCCAGAAATGGGACTTGGTGAATCAATGTCATATGTGTTGATGGATCAACACATATCACATCAAGTTGCGACGGCTGGGGTTTTCCACCCCGGACCCTGACCAGGGCCTTGCCCTAAACTCACCCTGCTAGGGGCTTCCGCTCACCGCGTGGCCTACTGCACAGAGCATGGGATCCACTTCCGGCGTGTTTCATCCTCTTTTGGATGGTAAGCATGCAGATTTCAACAGGGTGGCAGCGCCCGGCCGCGACAGCCGGGGTTTTCCACCCCAGACCCTGACTAGGCCTTCGCCCCAGACCCTACGCTGCCGCCACATCGCTGCTCGCCCTGCGTGGTATGTTGTCTATCTTTTTTAATTGTCTCATTAGTCCCTGGCTAAGGGTTCTCAGGGCCGCGAGAGTGGGACTCACCCATCAAAGTGGGACTGGGTCCCATTGTGCAAGTCCCAGTCCCACTACTCTCATCACTCCTCACATTGTAAGGCTGGCTGAGGGACTCAACCAGCCAGCATCATGTGTGATGCCATCATGCTCCCCCTTGTGACAGCCAGTTTGTAGGTCACATATCCAGCAAATAGGTGATTCAATATATGTATTAAATACCTTATAATGTATGCTGTTAGACCCTCATATCTTTGGCTCCCATCAGCTTTACTAGGCAACTGTAGCAACAAGCCCATCCATGAATATCATGTGTACTATCTTGCTTGCCAAACTGACAAACAAGGACAGGAGGAAGCTTCTTCAAGCTAATCAACTCCTGGGAGGCTAACACTTGGTAACTCAAAGCCAAGCTCACAACTCAAAGGAACTCAGAGAAGGAGAGAAGCAAAACAGTAGAGGAAATTTGCATTTGGCTAACTACAGACAAGCTTTTACAGCCAAAATAAATGAGGGATAAGTAAAATAAAGACTAAAATGAAATATGGAATGAGCAACAAGGGCCTATAGGTCAGGCCAACTAGGGGATGACAACTAGGGGAGACTAACCTAAAAATAGAAACTATGAAAAATAAAGGAAGGAAACCAACCTGGGCAGCACGGTGATGGATGACTAAGTGTGACAATGTATCATGTGTGAGAGGCGAGGCTGATCAACCCACGCACATGACTGGGGATTCGAACAAAAATGGAGACCTGAAGCAGGAGCTTTTTGTGGGAAAACTGGTGCCAAATGGGGTCAGCTGATGATATTCAAATCAAGACTGCAGATTTTCCTACAGAATTACCAGATAAGGTAATTTCTGCATCACGTGAGCGGGGGGCCCCTGATTTATGTAAAGATCAACCCCAATCATTTGGGCCTGCATCTGCAGACTGCCACAAAAAAGTCAAGCTTCAGGCCGCCTTTTCCCCCAAAACCCCAATGTGCTATGTAACCTTGAGGGTATAAGCTACCCCTGTAGTTAATCCTGAGTTTACAGTGAATTTGGCTCCTGAAAGTTGATTAAAAAAGTAGTTTTTGTACAAATCTTTTTTACTGAAAACAAATAGGTTCTGCAAGGGGGAAATTAGCAACGAAACAATAGCTTTTTGAGTGAAATTTCTGAGTGAGGAAATTACTGTTTTCAGAAGAGGTTTTGAGAGAACAGAAACCAAAGGTCTTCTTCCAAATTCTTAAACAGATATTGTCTTGCAGATATTTACCTAAAACCACATTTGAATATAGTAGTGTATCAATGGTTGAAGATTTTTTTAACTGGGGTTGAATTGGAACTTTATAATGTGGGAAGAGCATGGAATGAAATAAGTATCACTAAGATGATCAAACATTTGGCTTTATAAAAGAGTTTCCATGAATTGTACTTTTTTTGTGATGCTTTCTGTGGATCATGAGTATGTTTAGATAGTACCCAAAATACGGTACCTTGATTTCTAATTTTGGATTCTCAACAAGGTGCTGCAGGTTAAGTTCATTATCTCTGTTTTCTGAAACACAAGTAGTCAACCCCCTCATCTAATATGAATGTGTAAGATCCTCACCGTTTCTTCTCTCCTCATATTCTATCTTCAGTAATGGTAACTTGAAATATTCTGCAAGGCTTTCGCTGATAGGATCAAATCCTTTTGCAATTTGTATTGCACGCAACTCCTCATAAAAAGAGGCAGGAAAATACAAGACTTTAACCCAACAAAATATGTTAATATGTGGAAATCCTAGATTGATTGCCTCCTCACATATCAGCCTCTCTTGGCCAAGGTGATCAAGTGACCAATAGGCAATAGCTTCAGGCTGTTCTGAACTATAAAGTGCAGAGTCTCCAGGACACAAGAACAAGTACCCTTCAAGATTGGGATCATCTATTTCGATACTAATTTCAACCACATGAAAGTTGATAATTCCCAGGATAGATATTAGTGTCTGGCTGAGATTAGGCATGTTCCATAGAGATATTGCTTACCATATCTATCTGGTGGATTGGTCTCAGAAAAAGTTTCCAATAGATTGAGTGCTTAACTCATCCACAATTTGCGTATTACAGAAAGTGGAATATCACTATCTGTTACAGTCATCCAGTATGTTTGTCTGAGGGTCTTCTTTTTGACAGCAAAACTGTTTAGAAGAGATTGAGAAAAGAAAATTAGGGAAAAAATGGATTTTATCATACTAGCACCATCCATTTGAGAGTCTGGTAAGATTGATCTCTGCAGAGAACCATTTACTTGAAGGGCTCGGTTGAGGATGAGAGGCCCACAGCTGACAAGGAATGTGCTGTGGTAAAGCACCTCACGACTGGCACAGGTAAGGTACCTCCACTCACCTGCAGGTTTTTTCAGGCAATTCAGCCATACCTCCATCCTTGAGTATTTATGCTTGTCAGGTACCTCTATCCATGGATACAGGTACCTTTAAGGGTACCTGCAGATGGTACAAAGGTGGATTAGGTATAAACAAAGGAAATACAGAGCAGTAGAATTATGTTTTAAATTGATATGCAAACCACAAGTATAACTTGCACTATCTGAGGCTGTATGATCTATTATAGGCCAGTTCTGAGGATATTTTAATGAATTTACAGGTACCTTCAAGAACTAAATCCAAGACCTCCACTCCCTGCCATCCGTGGGAAAAAGGGTACCTCCATCCGCGGATGGCTACACCTGCGGATAGAGGTCTCAGGTACCTGTTGAACCATCCTCAGGTCCAGCCACTCGTGAGGAGCTTTATGCTGTGGGATATAGGAATTTGCTTGTTCAATTTTTCGGTCAAACTTCACTATCATCTGTGCCCTTGGATGAAAGTCTCTAAATGAGGACATTGTTAAGTAGACCTTGTTATGAGTCAAGGTGCTTAAAAGCCATTCTACAGGTATTCCCTGGCAAAGAGCATATAAACTTCCTGGTAGCACTCTAGATCTCCACTGAGGATCAATATTAATGTGCTTGTCATAGTCAGTGAATTCTTCAGAAAAGTGGGAGTTAAGGTTGATTCCCAAACATAGCTGCCTGGTTGAAAGAGAGAACCAAATCATAATATGCTAAAATAAGATGATACAGTAAGAAATTCTGCAGCTTAGTACAACAGCAGACACTGACAGCAAATGACTGCATATTTGATTGCTCTTGTTTAATGATTTGTTGAGCAGACTGTCTTTGATTAGCGCAAGCCCATGATAACTAATCACTCTCACAGGAAATGCACAGTGCTGGGAGTCACATTAGACTCAATAACTTATGAGTCATCATGTGTAGAATCACTCACACTGTGTATCAACATCTTGACTCGTTCTTCACATTGTGCAATTTCAGGTAGCTGCTCCAATCGCACCATCTCTGTCAAACAGTTCTTTACTCAATAGTTCAGGGGGGAAGTCCATATACCTTGGTGATAAATCACCATATATATTTGATCATTATATGCAGTCCCATAGAGTTGTTGCATGTTTGGATGCCTGAATAACCGAATCAATGATAATAACAGACATATTGATAGAACCACAATAACCTCAGTCCTTTCATCAGGTTGACTTCCTTTGCCCAGTCCTATCATTGTTGTTGATCAGAACTAAGGTTTTTCAAAATATTCAGCTACCTGTTTGCCTCCTGGTTTATAAATGCCCACAGTCATATCTTGAGCCTGAACCATTGCAGTATATGTCCTTCTCTTCTGTCTGAAATATGGAATGCTAGTCACCACTAGTTCAGATTTCAACAAAATGTCACCCAGCCGGATACGTCAAAAATTGAAATCTCAACCCATGATGTGAGTCCTAGTCCATCCAGGGAGTTTCCGTTTGGCTCACCAGGTTCCTGATAGATGTGGGCTTGAACTGCTTCTTCGGGATGAAGATGTGTCAAGAAGGTGCTGTGAGAAATAGAAAAGTTTCTTGCGCCTGAAAAGAAATTGCCAACTTGGTTCCTACGCAAACCTGAGCTTTGGAAGTGGTCTGGTATGTGTGCATAGGGCTTGTCATCCTCTGGCGACAGGTGGGTGGTTGAGTGAGAGTGAGACATGGCGGCAGGAGACAAATGTCAAAACGGCTGCGCCAATTTCAAATTTACGAGTACTGTACTCGGGTGATCACGTAACACAGAACGCGTATGTGACACGACGAGCACAGCTTTCCCATCTTTCTTCCCGACAACCATCATGGCAGGACCTTCATCGATACATTGGCTATTTTCGTTTTTGGAGTCGTCGCCACTCGGACGCGATAGCTTCTGCCACGTCCACGCGCGGAATCTGTCACCGAATTAAATTAGCTCGTGACGCACGATGCACTGGCACTGGCATGCGGTGCCTCATGACCACTGGGGAGGCTATATATGGCCGCACGTTTGCCAGTAAGCGTCTTTCTCCTTCACTCTTTGCGCCGCCACTCATATTCAGCCATGGTTCTTCGCGCTTTCGCTGTCGCGGCGCTGCTGGCCTCGACATACGCCGCAAGTGTCCCCAGCCCGCAGGAGAGATGCGGTGGTGCTGCACAACCGTCGTGCAATCGGGCGGTGCCACGCGCCACGGTCTGCAATGGGCATGCCCAGCTCTGCGGGCGAAGCTACGGGAATGTCACCTTCATGGGCTCCCATGACTCGGCTTTTTTCAGCAGCGACCCGTTTGCGCGTATGTCCCTCGGTTTCCTCCCTGGTGGACGGGCTCACAGTTCCCATAGTTGCCCGCGACCAGGAGGTCGACATCCCCACGCAGCTGGGGCTGGGGGTGCGCATGCTGCAATCTCAGGCGCACATGAACGGTGGTGTAATCCATTTCTGCCACACCAGTGCGTGAGATCTTGTAATATGACTGACGGTAACTTGCAACGACAGGCTGTGCGCTGTTCGACGGAGGCACAGTGCTTGCATACCTACAAACAGTCAAGTCTTGGCTCGACGCGAATCCCAACGAGGTGCTCACTCTCCTCTTCACAAACCCCGAGGGGCTGTCGATTCCCAACGTATGGGCGCCGGCGTTTGTCCAGTCAGGTGCGTATCCATGGTCATTCTTAGCTAATCGCTCATCTAGGAACTGTAGGTATTGCGAGCATTGCCTTCGTACCGCCACAGAACCCGATGCCTCAGTCTGCCTGGCCGACGTTGGGCAGCATGATTGATTCGGGCAAGCGCGTCGTCATATTCCTCGATGCGGGAGCGGATGGCAGCGACGGCACACCCGTCAATTACATCCTCCCGGAGTTTACTCAAGTACGTACGCTCACTTTGCACTGCTTCATTCTCCGACCTTTCGTTCGCTTAGATCTGGGAGACACCCTTTGACAGCACCAACGCGGCCTTCCCGTGCTCCGTCGACCGCATCGACACCAGCAAGCTCTCCGTTGCGGACCACATGTACATCATCAACCATTTCCTCGACATCGACATATTCGGGATCCTGCTCAGCGACCCCGAAGAGGCGGGGACGACGAACGGAGTATCTTCGTAAGTTGCCAGGCTCCTTTATCTCGGACCGAAACATCAATGCACTTCTAGAATTGTTGCGGACGCGCACGGCTGTGTGCCACTGTCCCAGGCGAACCGCCTCCCGAATTTTGTGCTGCTTGATTTCGTCAACTTAGGAACGGGGATGGCGGCGATCAATCAGTTGAATGGGGTGTCTTGAAAATGGTTTGAATGTATTTATAGTCACCGCTGGGTTTCTGTTGGAAGCTTGATTATGATTAGCACATAGAACCCGTTTCAATCATTCGCGCTGACTTGGTTTGGATGCAAGACGGTTGGGCTCAAGTTGCGTTGGAACACAGCTTTGGTAAGTAATCCTGATCGTGATATCAATAGGGTACCATTTACGACTGCAAACGATGCAGCTGCATTCCTGCAAGATTGGGGTAGTTACCACTTCTTGATCTCCATTTGCGCATCATGCGAAATGTCAGCAAGACATTCATCTCCTTACCCAGCCTGAGTTCCCTCTTGATCTAATAAGTATCTGTGTATTCAGCCGAGGAATTGAAAAAAGGAGGATTTTTAAAAAAAAATTCTAATTAAGGTAATAATGTAATAATGAAACAAAAAAGGGCCACCTTTATTTGTTGGAGAAAATGGATCAAAGGAAGACATGATAAGTAGAACAACAATCTTATAACAAAAAAAGCAATCAACATTGTAATACAAAAAAAAAGCCTCTTATGCCCAGATATACTCCATTTTTCCCACATAGGCACCCTTTTTATACTACAATCTGAGAAGCATTTTTCTCTTTAAATTCCTTTCCTATCTAGTTGACATTTCTTAAACCTTTTTTTCTACCCTATAAAAGTCACCATTTTTGCACCCATTATTACCTTCATTAAAATTTTAAAAAAATCCTTGAGTTTTGTCCTGAGTCCTCGGGGTGATTGGCTGCTTTACATTTGACTATGTAAAGTCTTAGTTAACCTCAATAAACTAATTATCCATTCTGCGTAATGTATCCTGAACGAGCGGAGGTGAAACTATCAACTATCTAGGTACTATAATACAACCACGTGCGATTAAGCGTTATTTTCTTCCCCCGTTTTGCCCTTCTCCACGTCGCCCTTCTCCTGCGCTGGACCAGTTTTCTCGATCTTCAGGTTCTTGATGAACAGCGACGCGAGCAGCGCAAGCCCCGCCACAGGAACACCCACAACAAACACGATCCTTAGCGCCTCCGTGTAGCTCCGCACGACGCCGGGGATCATGGCCGGGGGCAGCGCCTCGTATATCGCCGTCGGGCTCTCCTTGACGATCACAGACGGCGCCTCGGGTGCGTACTTGGCGAGGAACTTAGTCAGCTCGGACGCGAAGACGGGCTCCGCAACGCCGAGGCCAACCGTGCCGCCCAAGAACTGGCCGAACGACGCCATGGAGGTCGCCTGCCCAAGCAGCCGCGCCTCCGCCTTGGACTTGAACTCGACCTGGATCGCGAGCAGCGAGTTCTGCATGCCCATGCCGGTTCCAACACCCGCAAGAATTTGAAAGCCGATGATTTTGGCAGACGACGTTGACGCGGAGATCGTGTACAGCAGCCCAGACCCAATGGCGAGGAAGATTGGCGCCGCCACCAAGAACGGGTAATACCGCCCAAATCGTCCAACAATCTGGTCAAAGTCACTGATAACAAAACAAATTACACAAAATTGCGCCGCACCTGTCCACTTCCGATAACAGACAATACTGTGCCGAGCATAAACGGCAACAAGTCGATGCCCGATTTCGTGGCAGAGTGGTGGCGCGCCGCCTGGTAGAAGATGGGGATGTAATACGAGAAGAGCAGGAGCGAGAAGCGCGTGAGGAACGCATACGATATAATGGCGTATATCGAGCGGCTCTTGAAGATTGCCGTGGGGACCATCGCGCGCTCGCCGAGCCACACCTCCCAGCCGACAAAGCCGATCGCCAAGACGCCAAAGAGCACAAAGGTCACGATAACCGCCGCGTCGTTCCACGGTTTCGTGTTCCCGCCCCACTGCAGCGCGAGGATGAGGCATGTGACAAAGGCGGAGGCGAGCAGCATGCCGAGATAGTCCATCCGCAGCACCTGGTCGCGAAGGTGGCGCCATGTACGTTGGGCTGGGTCAGATCCGAGCGGGGGCGAAGCCTTAAGCAGGAAGGTGACGACGGTGAGGGAGACGCCGCCAAAGGGAAGGTTGATATAGAAGCACCATCGCCAGCTGACCTGTATTTTGTTGTTAGCGCAAAAACAAAAGTTGTTTCTGAGCACGCACATGGTCGGTGAAGGCCCCTCCAATTAATGGCCCGACAATACTCGACAGGCCGAATACAGCGCCGAATAGGCCAAACAGCCGCGGACGGTCTTCGAGCCGGGTTACCTGTGAGATGATTTGGATCATGGAGACAACTATTAGGCAAGTAAGTAACTCAGCGAGAAGGGAAAGGAAAGACATACAGATGCCTGCTGCTCCGATACCCGACACCGTCCGCCCCGCGATGAGGGAATCAACGCCCTGCGAACGTGGTCAGCAAATATTGAGAGTCAGGACGACTACTCACTTGGGCAAGGCCGCACACCAATGACCCGACCTCGAAGATTGTTATCGCCGCAAGGAGCGTGTACTTCGCGGGGAATATCCGGAGCAGCTGGCCGTAGAAGAGCAGGAAAACGGTCTGGGCGAGGACGAAGGAGGTCGCCACCCAGCCCTGGAGGGAGAACGAGTCAAAGTCGGAGGCGATGCGGGGGGAGGGCAGTGGCGAGGATGCTAGTTGGTGTGAGCAGGGGGAAAACATAGTGTAGAGCACGCACGTCTGATCGAGGGCCACCAAGAGGACGGAGAGCAGCCTTGGCGGAGAGTCAGGTAGCGAAAAGAGTGAGAAGGCCACGTACATGGCAATGAACACCACCGCAAGCTTAGACCCCGTCAAAATCGTGTCCGCATCCACCTGAGGGGCAGGGGCAGCGGAAGGAGAAGCAGCCTCTGGCTTGGTGTCGGTCATCGTGTGGTCGTCAGAGGAGCGCTGGGTGTCTACGTCCGCCATGGTCTGAGCGCTAGTGATGCCGCGGAGGGCTCAGGTCACAGTTTTTAAAGCGGCTCCCAGTGAGAGAATGAGAAAGCAGCGCGGAGCGACGCCACGTCCTCCTCAGTGCCGCATCCGCCAATTCGTGAGAGATTCACGCACGCCTGATGACGTGACGGGTAATCGGCCTCAGCTGGCGGCCCAGCGCAGAAAACCCCCCGAAACGCTTGGCACTCGGATATTTCGGTCCGTGAAGTAGGACATACGTAGCGAAGAGTTGCAGGTTGGAAAATCGCTGGCTAGCCAGCTTGTAGGCGTAGGGACGCAGTTGCCAGAGGCTCAGGGAAATGTGCGCACGTAAGGAAGATTGGTCATAGTGAAAACAAGATGACGCGTCGATCGCGGAGAAACTGTCGAACGAATATAGTGGGTTGCTATATTTATATAGCCTGCAGGTTTCAACGAGCTCGCTGCGAGCATGCGAGAGTAGGTGATCCACTTTCGATGTATGTATGTACCAGTGACGCAGGGCCAATGACAGCCCCACGAATCGGCCCGAGGACTCGCTAAGTAATGTCCGATGGGTTCGGGATCAAACAGTCTAAAGAAGCGGGGGTAGTTGGGGAGTAGAGAACGTCCGCGGTGGTGGGCGCCGCCGGGTACTTTGCCCCGAGGGCGACTACATAGGCACGCAGACTTCAATTTAGCCTTGCCTCGACCGCTTTCCACAATTTATGCCACCGCTTCTCGCGGTCATACCGCAGCCAGTGGTCCGGCAGCTCGTTCACCCCGTAGTCGAATTCCTCCTCGTCTTCATCCGAGTCCGAGTCAAAACCTTCGCTGTACTCCCCCGCGGTCGCAATCGCGCGCAAGTGCGGGAACAGCGCCGCAAGGTAACGCGCCACGCGCCGCGGCTTCAAGTTGTCTACCAGAAACGGCGAGTTCTGGACGTCGAGCCGCGTGAGCGGATGCTCTCTTGCTGGCACTGATAACTCCACTGACTCGACGGCAAAGCGCAAAGTGAGCGCCTGCAACGCGGGACATTCGCGCTGGAGGCTGGCCAGGCTTTTCAGCGAACACGCAGGGCGATGGACAGCGGCGGGACCGAGCAACGTGATCGTTTCGGCGGCTGGCCAGGCGCGGGCCAGGTCTTCAAGGAAGTCATCGTCAATGTCACCGCCAAAGCCCAGCGCGGATGCGACCGTCACGTGGCGTAACGATTTGAAGGCGGGGGAGAGAAGTAGACGCAATGTTTCGGCCGGGAGGACATATAGCTCTGGGTCGTCCAGCAGTCTGATGGAGTCCTCGTCGTAGATGTCCTGGACAGCGAGCGACAGTACCTCGAGCGTTGCGTTGCCCAAACACGCTGCGAGAGCCCCGAAGAGGTCGTGTTGTCCATCCGCAGTGGGGTACGGCTGAAATTCAACCTGGAACGAGCGTAGCGGCACGCCGGGACGGAGGCGCTGCAGGAAACGAGCGACAAGCGGCGTATCCTCATGGGTAATGGAAAGTTCTTGCAACTCAGGGAAGGGCCATACTTCCGACGAGTCGAGTGCCAATGCTCTCGGGAGGACATCCAACGCAAGCGAATGTAGCGAGGCGAGTCGTGAAAGGCAGCTGAGCCCGGCCATACTCAACGTCGGTACATGTAGATTAGTCAAGGGGGCGCTGCAGAGAGTAAGTGTGATGATGAAGCGGGAGATGGGCTCCAGAAAGACATGGTGGACCTGCGGGGTGTTGGGGAAAACTGAATGAGACGTGGATGGGGGTGTCCGGGTTGCTCCTTCAGTGAGCGTGAGGGAACGCAGCCGACATGGGGAGTCGGAGATTCTTTCGAGGAGCAGGGGAAGCCGCGTTCCAAGCTTGTATGCCTCGACGACGATGTGAGAGACGGACGTGCGTAGGAACAGGTCGATATAATCGGCATTACGGTCCCAAACGAGTGTGTTGAGGTTTCTGAACATGGTGATCGGGAGATGGGATGCAAGGGTAGGGAGCACTACGTCGAGTGAGGGGTTACTCCCAACGACAATGAGTTCGCGAATATGAGCTTCGTAGGCACGGATGCGGTCCCAATCGCTGTCACGAAGGCGTCGAGCATACTTGAGGACCTAACAAACGGCATGTAGCGCAATAATGAGACATGGAGGAAGGCGCACCATCGTCATCCTCGGAGGAGATCCGAGAGACCGTGTGTCCCATGCATCGTCAGGCCAAAGACGAAGGACGGCGCTGAGAGGGACAGTACGCCACAGCTGGCGTAAAGCAGATCCGTAGAAAGCCCGACACGTGCAAGCAAGGCGTACAAGCTCGCTCCCCGGCTGGTACTCGTACACCTCGCTCAGTGGCGGAAGTGGTCGATGTAAGCTTTCGCAGATGAAGTCCAGCAGTTCTGGAACGCGCAGGGCGGCATGCATGGGGGAGGGAGGCTGGATAAGCGCCCGTCAGGTAGAGCTTTATAGGCAGAGCGAGGTTTCCCAGTCAGTGAAGATGACAGTTTGGGAAGAAAACCCCATCATCCTCCCACGCCGCCACGGCGTCAAGCCCCGAATCCGGATCGTCACGTGTCCTGCTGACAGGTGCTGCCGTAATCGAAGCCTTTTTGCTCTTGACCACCATGCACGAATCTCTGCGCCTGTCCAATGTGCAGCGACTGCCGGTCCGTCTTAGGGTAAAGTTCTTCTACCTCATCTGTCTGCCTTTCCCGCAACATTCTCCAGATTCTGTCAGAGCGCGCCGTCCGGAAACCCTTCGATATGAATCCCCTGCTGCGCACTCTGCACCAAGTCGCTGGTCCACAGCGTATCTTGCTGCTCCCCGTCTTTTATGCAAATATCGACGACAGCTTTATGCCTTCGCTCTTGAACGATGAATTCCTGCAGGACGCTTCCAGCCTCTGCGCCATTCTTTCACGCGTTAAACAAGCATTCGAAGGTTTATTTATGCTCTCTAACACGCAAGACATTCCTCTCGATGCATTGGAACCCGTATGGCTGCGTTGCTGGGCTTGGGTCCAGTTTCTGGAGATGTATAATCGAAACTGGCGCCCCGTAGAACGATACGCCGAGCTTACCAGCTTGTTGATATCCCTCATCTATCAGCTTGTGCAACGGGCAGTGATTGCCCAAGAGGCCTCTTTGGCTGGCGGCAGGAACACAGGGGCCTTGGAAGGGCCAGAGGCCTCTTTTCAGGAGGCCCTTGGGGCCCTTTTGATCATGATCATCAATTTTTGATCCTCCATTCCCTCTGTGTTGACTTGGTTCTTGCATTCATAGGCATGCACAGTGTACTTATATGCAGTAGTTACAATACTGCTCTTTGTTGGCCAAGGCAACACTCTCACCACCCAAAGTGACACTTTAGACTGACTTCGCAGTATTTAATTTTTCACTTTGTACTACCCTTTTCACTTCACTCTCTGCCTATATCATCGTCCATAGAGTGACACAAAGTGAAATAACATGAAGTGAAGTGAGATGACACTCCAAGGTCGAGAATTCTCATTCCCACCGCCATAGTCCCGAGAGGGCAATGAAAGTGAAGTGAGATGAAGTGACACAACAGCCCTCCAGTATCTTTTGTGTCCGGTAGCAAGTGTCGAAGTGACACTGAGGTGAAGTGAGATGAAAGTGAAAGTCGTCGGTCAAAGGGACAGTGCGACAATGCAAGGTGGTCATGAAAAGGTCATAAATTGTACAGCACCGTATACTGAAGCACCGGATATATGTACTCATTGAATCAATAGCCTCCACCACACAATAATCGAGCCTTCTGGAAGTAAATTTGGTCAGACCAAGATTGCGAGTGAGGAACTCTGCTTACTGGTTCATATGCAACTTCATATTGATCATCCCAGCTGAAACCATCAGGCAATGGCTTTCCATGAGCAACGAAGTAGCTCCCCCGGTTCAGGCGAATGATACGCCCAGGAACCAAATCCGAATTGTCGTTGTCCGTATTGTGCTGCCCTCGACGCAGACGCTTCTTCGGTGGAGCTTCCTCTTCCTCGTTGTCGTTCTGATGTGCGCGCTTTGTCGGAGGAATATTTGGTTCTTGCTCATTTTTACGCTTCGTGCTTCCACGGGGTTTGCGAGTTGCAGTCTTTACAGGTTTCTTGGTCTTGGGCGTGGGAGGTGGTGGTGTCAGCGGAGAGGAAGGTGCCGAAGAATGTGCAGGACGAATGGGAGTTTGGAGCAAAGGCAGTTTTCCCGTTGTCCCCGGGCCGGCCTCTTTGTCAGCAGAAACCGTCTCGCCCTCCTTCTTCCCCCCTTGTCGAGCAATAGGCCGCGAGAAATCAACATCTTGCTGTTGCTTTTTCGATGGAGAAGATGGTGTAGGAGATGGGAGAACAGCAAGGTTACTCTTGCCTTTGCGAGGCCTTGTTTCGATAGCCAATCGTTCGCCTTTGCCTTGGGCCTCTAGTGCAGCATGGTAGAGATTTCGTACAGCTTGCTGGTCGGCTTCGGCAAGTGGAATAGGCTCTGTGTTGTCCTCAGCTGAGATGATAATCTCCAGCTTGTTCGACTCCAATTCTTGCTCTAGCGCTTGTTAATTCACTTCTAAACAATCTATGGAAGAAACTCACCAAAGTAGGACTCCAGAATAGCAATACCCTCCATTGTACTGAGTGTCTTGATGTCAAGGGACACTAGTGACAATGCACCGTCTTGACTTTGTGTCGGATAACCTATTTCAAGAAGTCAATGTCAAACCGAAGGAAACAGGAAAGGAATGTACGAAATAGTGATTTGCGTGCCCATTTACGCACATTGCGAGCTTCCGCGTCGGTGAGGTTGAACGCTGGAGCCGAAATAGTGGTGTTGGTAACCAGGACTCTGAATTAGAAACGATTAGTGGATACGACGCAAGGATAGGTAGCTCCGAACACTTTGTGGTTGATATTCCCTTCGTAATCACGTATGTTGCTGAGAACAATAAAGGACGCATCGCCAAGTTGATTATGGCCAGACCCAATAAGCGATTGAAGTACCGCAGTGACTATCTCTCCAGAGCGCGCTTGATTACTACACATGTTTTCAGTGACACGTTCGGATAAGACAAGACTGAGGCTTACTCTTTCACCGACTGAGCAATTTCTTCCTGAGATGGGCCTTCAGCACGTCGGGCATTCTCCACCTTTGCTTTGGCTTCCCATTCCTCCTTCTCGTTCTCATTCAACTCCTTCCACTTTGCATCTCCAATTTCATGCCACAGACGAAGTAGTTCCCCCGTTGTCGAATCTCCTGACATCTTGGCACGCAATTCGTCCCGCTCCGCCTTGATTTGGTCTGTATGACTCAACTTGAAGAAGTCGTGTCCGTTGGTGCGTGGAACGGGCTTGGGTGGGGGGACAAGAGGCGGCAACGCTGCAGCTTTACGTCCTTTACGGGCTTGGTGGCCAGCAGCGTTGTTGAGTTTGTTGTACATCGCCTGCGCAATTGTTAGCGACACAATGAAACGGAACCGTGAAAACATACTGCAAGTAGCTGAGACTCCCGATACAAGGGTACCTCGTTTGCAAACTTCTTCTTCAGCATCGCAAAAAGTTCGTTGTTTGCATATTCTTTGCCGTCCTTTTTCCCGGTTTCCTCTGCCTGATGTTGGTTGTACAAGGGCTGTAGTATATCCTTCATATAGCGTCCCATCTCCTGGATAATCTTGTCATTCTTATTGGATAGAGCGAAGTCCCGAAGAGTGCTTGGGGCTGGGGTGGTGTTAGTAGCCATTGCGGGTGTAGGTGGGTCTCCTGACGCACCAACAAGCCATATTATACTGCAGATAGTCAATGCGACGCCAACCACCGCTTTTGCCATCGTCTCAAGCACCATTCCAAGCGACGTCCCATCCGTTGGTTAGAGCGCTCTCTTGGAAGAGGTAAAAGCAGTTGATGTGACACACTGTCACAGATTTCAGATAATATGACAAAACGACTTGCAAAATATTATACATTTGGAACGGTCGATAAATATTCTACATTGGAGCCTTGAACTCAACAGCTGACCAGTAGTCCCAGTCTCGGAGCGTCGTTACTCCCTTCACACGTATCAAGATGGGTTTACGATACGTCCCATATGCACTTGCCCAGTGTTGTGCTTCCCATTGGCCCAATAAATGGGAAAAGCGTTCAATCTTCCCTCCCTCTAGTCCAATCTCACCGAGTAGCATCCTCAATGCCGCAAAATCAAACTTTCCTCCGTTAGTTGGGATCGCAATACTGCTCGGAATGGAATGATTCTGAAAGCCCCCCGTAAGTATTGCACAAGTCGATAAACAGACTATTACACTTGTCCACGCAATAATTAGTCGGTTGCAAGGAGAACCAGGTATGACAGGCTGTGCGGCTAAGGGTGTCTTGCGAGTTGGGTGAATTGGCGGAGGTGTGCTCGAGCGGTTTGGTTCAACCTGAATTAGGATCAGCGAAATATATGCTTGGTGAGAGACTATGCAAACATGTTGTTTTTTCCTTGGTGCAAGAGAGGGAGGTGAAAGAGAGCGGCGATTTCGCTAAACAAGTGCTCAGAAACACTTCCACACTAAATGAGCCCACCTACTTTGAGTGGCGTACGGGCAGTCTGATTTTGCTCGCGCATGTTCAATTGCAACTTAAAGCATTGGCCAACAGAGCCTGGAGTATTTGTACCATAAGCTTTGGTCAAAGTGTCGGCCTAGGTCAATGCAGTGATAGCCAAAGCTCGAAGTCTGATTGCACGCTCAAAACAGATCTATTCGGAGTCTTCCTCCTCGGACGAGACGACAACAATACTATTATCCTGAGCCCCATACAAACTGCGACGCTGCAGCTCGTCTTCCACATCTGCATCGGCGAACATGCGCGTGTCTTCCTCGAAGTCAATTGGTCCAAGTGAGAAGCGTGATGGACCGGCAATTGGACCGGTCGTATGGTCTTTTCTCTGTCGCTTTTTCGGGCTCGGAGATGGTAAGATAGTGTCCGCCTTGCGCTTACCTATCAGAAAGTGTTATGAAGAAGTGGACGGCGATTTGAAAGAGTACACACCATGATGGTGCATATTTGCACGGTCATATGCAGCATCAGCTCGTAAAATCCACGTCTGCATCCCAACACATGTCTTGTCCTGTAAACCCCTCGCTCGATACAGGACTATGCTGCCGTTTCCTTTGAGATTAAAGCTGTCGAGGACCCGTTCTTGAGTCCAGTTCTTGCGGCGAGGAGAATAGCGTTCAAATGTGATCGGGGACTCGGCAGCGATGTTTGCGATGGTTGCGATGTTGAAATGCGTGATATCGAAGCATTCCGGAAGGCGAATATTGAGCTTTTGCTTCATCGGTGGCTCACGGTCAGTCCATACACAAACTTGTAGTTGCAGGGCTGACTACGTGTCAGTGCTGCCCAACGCAAGAATAAAGAAAGCCTGCCTGCTGCGGTATCTACCATATA